CCCGCGCTCTAGAATTCGGCTCCCCTCCCACCCGCGCGGAGTCCCGGACCTGGAGAGCAGGCAGGGTCTGGGCGCTGCCCTGCCTCTGCCCGCGCGGAGCGTCGCTCGGGCGCTACAGAACGCGCAGAGCCCTTTCCGCAGCCGGGAGATCCTCGCCCGCCGGCGCCCGCGGAGGCCCCGGTACCGCGGCCGGAGTCGGGGCACCCTCGCCCTGCGCGTGCCAGCGTCCTGCGCTGCGGCGCGCGTTCCGCTCGCGCTGTATTTGCAGGGCAGGCGCGGGAGGAAGAACCCGCGCCCGAGTTGTGGGTGCTGCGCCCGGCGCGAGGTGCGGGATGGAGAGCAAGGCGCTGCTGGCCATCGCTCTGTGGCTCTGCATGGAGACCCGGGCCGCCGCCGTGGGTAAGGAGCCCACTCCCTAGGAGAAAGGCGGAGAGGTCGGGTGCGGGCTGAGATGGGGCTGCGGACAGGTCCTGGAGGCTCGATCTAACTCGGAATCATAGAGCTGGACAGTCAGAAGGGACTTGGCACTTTGTGTTCTTTCATTTACCAGTGGAGAAACTGAGGCTCAGACTGGCTCAAGATCACCCAGCGATTCAGTGGTCTCCTTTGCTCTAGCCGAGTTCCTTGTCCACGACTCTGGTCTCGGCAGGGGCCTCAGCCGGAAGGTGTCTTGCGGAGCCGACGAAGCCTGGGGCTCTTGGGATCCGGGGGTGGGAAGGCGCCTTGGGCTGGCAGGCAGGAGGTGCCCCGCAGGCTAGAACAGGCGGTGAAACGTTGTCTGGCTGCGCGCGACATCCCCGCCCGGGCGCCGGGAAGGAAGCCTTGCAGGGAGCTCACGCCCCGTCGCCCGGTTCGCACCGTGCGCTCCGTCCTGCCTCTGTGGGAGTCGAGCCAGGACCCCGGCCTGCTGTTCGCTTTTGGCTCGAACACACACGCACGCTCCCTGTGTGAGGTGGAGTCCGGGGGCAGGGAAAGTTCTGTTCCCTCGTTGGGGAGGGACGCTGCTATCCTTGCAGAAAGAAGAGGGAAATTGGGGTTTGTCCCCGGGGCTGTGACAGCTTCCCCAAGTGTCTCCAAGTAACAGTTAACTTCCCGTGTAAAACAGTTGAACGTCTTTCAGAGCTCTTTGGTCCTCTGGGTAAGCGCACAGTCAGAGGAGTTCAGGCTCTGAAAAGCGGCTCTGCGGGATTTGGTATCTAGTTTTCGCGCCACTAGCCACTGTCATTGCCACCTCAAACTTCCATCCCCTTCAAGATTAGGGACACACACGCTCTTGATGAGATAATCATCTTTTCTTCTTTCTTTCTGTCTTTCTCACTCTTTCGTCCCAGATAACATCTCTTTTCGGTAGCCACAGTTTGCTGATTTCCAGATTTATACCCTTTGGAGGGTGAGAAAGGGGAGAGGGTCGGAGAAAAGAAAAAAAGTCAAAAGAGTCAGGGAAAAATTCCTTATATCGAGAGAAAAGAATCACATGTCTTAAAAGACACTCGCACTCACATACAGTACCAAGATCATCTGTCTACAGTTATTGAATTTTCTTAATAATGACTTGGTTCATGAGGGCCAGCCCCACCATGGACACTCATTTGTCCCTGACAAGGCCTCCCTCTCGCCCTTTATGGGAAGAGAATGCGGGGCTGGAACATGTGGTTGTTCTGTATCCCACAAAGAAGTGAGTTGCTTTTAAGCCTGGGGTGTTTTATAGCGCAGCAGTAGTAACGGTAATCGGGTTGCCCTGAATATAATGGTGAGGTTGCCCTTTTGGAGTATGTGACTTGCTTAATTGGATTGGGCTGTAATTGGTGCCATCTAATTCTAGAGACAGAGGCACTGTTGTTTTTCCTTCCCGTCTTTGAGCTGGAAGGGTAACAGTGCACAAATTAATTAATATTGGTTATGGGATTTGAACATAGAAGGGCTTTTTATTGAGTAGGAACATATGTACCTCTTACACTTATTTCTTTAGAACTTTCTGAAGAGTAGAACTCAGACTTGCCAAAGAAAACGAAATGAAGCTTAATGGAGAAAAAAAAATTGAGCGTTGGTCTACAGATATGAATTTGAAATTATTGATAATCGCCTTATTGAATAGGTTTTTGTTGTAGACACGTCTCTAGAATAGTACAGTATTGTCTTGGCTTCCTATGAGTGGAGAACATATCTTTTTTAAAAACATTTTTTACATAGGAAAGTGTGTCTAGTGTGTGAGATGATCTGTGGCAAAAATTTATGAGAAATCTTCCAGAGTCTTGTATTTTGGTGGTGGGTGGGCATAACTTATTGAGAGCTTAGTCATTTTACTACCATTTTTTCCCCTCACATAAATGTGTCCAAGTAATGGATTCTTCCCAGTTAGATAATGATCTTATGTGAGTTGTGTTGAGTTACTGTGTTTAGCATCGTTCTCAACCTCATGTTTCGCAGTCAAGTTTGAAATCTGTGTTCATCTAAATGAACTGTTTTCATTTTCCTTTTCTTAGACAAAGTGGGACTCCATTATTTGAAGGGTTTTCTTTTGCTTTTAAACATTTTGCTTTATTGCTTGCCTACTTTGGGGTCAGCCATTTCCTCCATATTGAAAAGTGCTATGCTAATTAACTAAACATGACTATCCAGACCAGTAGCTGCCAAAGAGTGGCCCATAGACCATCTATGATAGGGTCACCTGAAATGTTTATAAAAATGCAGATTTGTAGGCCTAGGGATATTCTGACACAGCCTAGAGTTTAAGAGCCACTGCCTGAAACATGTCACTAGTTTCTGAGGTTTATTGATATAACTTAATTTACAGTTTTTAAAAAAATCTGTTATTGATCTACGGTTGTGTCAGCAGCTTGTTTTGCACATGTGTGTGTGAGAGAGAGAACATGTGCAATCAGTTGTTCATTTTGCCTGAAGTTGTTCACATTGGGGTCCACAGATTCAATGCATTGGATATTTGCACTGGATATTTGCTTACTCTCTTTATTCACACTGTCTCATACTTGCTTATATGTGTTTACACTCTCTTATTTGCTCAGCAAGGTCAATGCCATTGTAGGCCTAGAGAGTCATTAGCTTTTAGTTGATCTGAGTTAGAAAGCTTGGATGCTTGCCGAGTAACACTTACTTTTTAAGCTGGTATTTTAAAGATCTTGATATCTGTTAAGACCCACGTATGGTAGACAGTTTTTCTTTATCTGATGCTTTTCCAACACCTGTTAGCTCTTCACGTTTAGTTGACAGAGAACCCAGTCATCTTGCTGTGAGTTACCCTTGGTGAGGAATCTGTCCCGTGATAAAGATAGGTTTCTGTGTTCCAAGCTTGGTGTCAGGATGAGCTCTGAGCTTTGATTAGTAAGTCGAGATTCCCCAATTCATTAGCATTGCACTTTTTTTAGTCCTGTTCTCTGAGGAAAAGTATATTATTATACATATAAGTATGAAATCAGAAAATGTTTCTCTTCCTCAATTCCTCTCCCCCAGTTTTAACCTATAGTCTTTGTGAGCCATTATTTCAACCTTGGCAGTTCAGTTGTCAGAGGAAGTGCACCAGAAAATTGATAAAGGGAAATTAGACAAGGCCAGAGACACCTTCACCCCCTTCAGGGTCCATAGATGAACTATATAGAAATCTAAGTAGTATTCATTAGTCAGCAATTTAGTCAAATGTGTGCATCCTATGTTTTATAAGAAATGTCAGTGGGCCCTTACCCAAGGGAGTGAGATCATCAGATGAAGGTTCATTTGGTTTCAATGTCCCATATCCTTTTGTAAGACCTTGAAGTTGGCAATGCAGGAAAACAGGAACTCCACCCTAACTCCATGAATTGCAGAGCTGTTGTGTTGGTTTATGACCATCTGCCCATTCTTCCTGTTATGACACAGTTTGTGAACTTTTACTGGGAATGGTGAAAAGTAAATTCCCAGTTTTATACAATGAATTGCTGAAGAGGCCTTTTAAAGTATAGAGTGTGCATTGTTTATAGAAGGTGTTTCCTATTGGGTCAAACTCAGTGGCAACTACATTCATTTATTTAATTTGTTTCTAGGTTTGCCTAGTGTTTCTCTTGATCCACCCAGGCTCAGCATACAAAAAGACATACTTACAATTATGGCTAATACATCTCTCCAAATTACTTGCAGGTAAGGATTCACTTTAGATTCAGATTTCCTGTGTTAACTCATTTATTGAGGGAAAATAATTTCCATTACAGCAGATTTATAATAGAGTTGTAGTAATTTTTCATAAGTAGTGAGGTTTCTAAGAGATGATGTAATAATGAAAAAATGAGAAAGGTGTTCTCTCAAAATTCTTTACTATTTTGCTGGTATTTTTTTGTACTACTTTCTGCTAACACACACACATACACGCACACTCACTCTATGCAGATATCAATAACCAGTACCTGGCATATAGTAGACACTCAATAAATACTGAATGAATAAATGAAGTTAAGGACATACCCTTTAGGAGTAGAGTTGAAAAAGTTTGGAGTCATATTTACTATACTCAGAATGGCTCTTGTATTCTTTTAGCCATCTGTAGGAACCTCATCTCATGATAAAATTCTGACTGTAGTAGCCATTTAATATTTAGCCAGTAATATTACAGAGTGCGTGTTCTGCACAGGTAGTGGGCTTCATGCTGTGCCTTGTTGTTCTGGAATACCTCTCTTCCCACTTGCTAGCAAGAAGTCATGCTGTTGATTTTTGCTAAATGGGGAAACAGACCCAAGTGGAAAGATAGAATACCTTGGGGTTTAATGTAGTACTCATGCATAAGAAAGCGGGTGGGGTCTCAGGACTGGTGTGTTTTTGGCAGAGACCTTGTCAGGTGGAGCGATGTTGCCCTCTGAGAAGCATGCTGGGGATCCGCAGAGAACCTTGGACAGCTTATCGCCATTGCCTCATACTTGATGAATACCAAGTGGTCAATAGAGTGACACAGATCTATTTTAGATAGCAGAATATAAAGGATATTCCGGTCCCCTTACCAATGGTAGGTCATTAGTACCTAGCCCTTGGGGAAAAACACAGTAGCAGGTGCTATTTCTCTAGCTTTGCTAGTTCAAGGCACATTTCCCAGTAGATTTTCCTCTTACCTCTTACCCTCAAAAATAAAGGTTACTTAAAAAGGATTCCACACTCCTTTGTAAAACACTGGATAAACATTTTGTACGTTCTGAAAAAGCCATGGAGTGTGTTAAAAGTAACTTCATTGATGTAGATGCAACTTCATGGAGATTTCAGGTTCTTTGAATGAAGGGTTAGTAATGTCACATTCTTCTTGGTGTTGACTATCTTCCTTGGGGCCTTGCAGAGAAATGGTGCAGTAAAAATAAACTACGTTTTAATGCAGTCCTCATAAGGTCCTGCAAGGCTCTTAGTTCCACCTTTCTTTCCTAACCTCACTTCTTACTCCCCCTTGCCCACTCTTATCTGGCTACTCTGGCTTCCTTGCTATCCTCCTAATGCTCCAGATATGCACCTGCCCCAGAGCCTTTACATCTACTGTTCCCTCTGCCTGGAATACTGTTCCTCCTGATATTCATATGGCCAGATTCATCAAGCCCCCTTTCTGCAGAACTCTTCACCGATTTTCTTTGCATCTTCTATATTTTCTCCATAGAACTAATCACCACCTTTTATATAATAAATTTTACTTACTTTTTAATTGCCTATTTCTTCTAGTTAGACTGAGTTTCCATAGAGGTGTTGATTTTTGTCTGATTTGTTCACTGCTGTATCACCAGTCCTTAACAATGTTTGGCACATAGTAGATGCTCAATAAATATTTGTTGAATGAATGCATTAATTAATAGAAAACTCAGGAATCTATAAGTGACTTCTGAAGCTGAGTTTATGGCTTTTTGTTATGTATCAATCCAACCTGTCATTGTCGGTAGAAGGCTTTGACTCTGTTGAGAATTTTATATGAGTTTGAGAACCAAAGCTTCTGTTTTCTTAGAAGCAGCCTCATACTGTGGCACTTCACATGAATACTTCCTTGGAATTAATTTTTCAGGGGACAGCAGGATTTGGACTGGCTTTGGCCCAACAATCAGAGTGGGTCTGAGGAAAGGGTGGAGGTGACTGAGTGCAGTGATGGCTTCTTCTGTAAGACACTCACAATTTCAAGAGTGATCGGAAATGATACTGGAGCCTACAAGTGCTCCTACCAGGACACTGATGTGGCCTCGGTTGTTTATGTCTACGTTCAAGGTAAGTGGTGAAATAGAATTCATTTCCCACGTGGATTTACCACTTATAAAACACAATAGGGGCAGAGAAGAATTGAGTCCAACAAAAGCCTTGCTCTAAAAGCTGTTCGCCAACTGGAGTATACAAAATTCTTCCTCCCCGAGGCTTCCTCTGAGAAATGACTCATTGATTGGTTCTGGAGAATGGGCCCTGTGACATTGCTTTTGCTCAATTAGTCTGGTTCTGATCTTTGTTTCTAAGGTAAATCTGTGTTCACCATTGGCTATGGAGACTCATAAAAATGCTTCTGATGTTTGAGGAAAAAACCTAACTTCCTTGAAATCAAGGAAGATTCAGGGGTGAATTATGGAGAGTCTGTGGACAGATAGGTTATCTACAGCAGAGTAGGAGATTTTCCCAAGAATGCATAGGAAAATAGGCAAGGGCTCTGGAGTTTCCTATACTACCTTAATTTTCTGGTGAAAACTTGACTTAAATGACATACCTATTATATAATTTTGAAGAATGTTAAGCATTGCATCATATTTTGTTTGGATATACTAAATATTTTTCTTTTCAGTGATGATAAACTTTTAAAGACATTTTATTTATACATTTATATTGCCTCTTTACATCCAGGGGGATTTGAGGCAGTTGGAGAAGACTTAGACTTTTTTCCAGAAGCATCTTTTACATGACAGGAATTTCATCAACTTTGGGAAACACACTTGCATATCTCCACTTGCATTGCTATGGTGCAGTATGGTCAGGGCAGTAGAAAAGTGGAGACCACTTCAAAATAACCTGTGTCACTTTGAAATTGTACAATGTTTGAGAATTATTTTTTGCTCAAAGGAAGCACAGTCCAAGGTAGAATTCTGTGCCCTCCTCCTCCCCTCTGCAGGATTTGAAAGAAACAAGGCTCAGATCTTAGAGAATTTCTGGCTCCCTTTTGATCTGGCAGTCTTGGGAGATGAGGCTCTCTCAGAAGATTGCAAGGATTTCCTGCTTTCAGACTGTCTGGAAATACTACAAGATGAACCTCTCCCATAATATCTCATTATTTCCTTCTCCCCACATCAGGAAACCTGGAGACATGTGCAAATTCATTTCATGAGTTACAGTAAATATTTGTATTTTGAGAGGATGGGTGATTGTTTGGGTTTCTTTTGTTTATTTCCTTTTTTGGGACACTGAAATAGAATTGATTTACTGAATAGCTTTCGTCTTATGTCAAAGGGTTAATTTAGTTTCCAAAAGCTTGCTCTGTAAGCAAGTTATGTAATATTTCATAACATGTGGATGAAAGGTAGGCAATATTAAGAAGCAGCAATCCCTAGCACTGTTTATTTGTCCACTAGCTGTCTTTGGATATACCATTAAATTCTGCTTCCTGTCTAAACCTGATGTTCTAGGAGTTGAGCTATCCAAGATTTGGTCATGAAGTTTAACAATGGGAAAGGAAACATTGAAGTATTCCCTATGGACAGGTCTTTAATGACCCCTCTGGTCCCCACCTTACTTCCTTAGTCTTCTGACCCCATTCCCTCCAGCAATGAATGGAGCCAGGAAGTGGTCCCTGGCCTCATAAGATAATGGCTATGGCATGTGGTGGGCTAGATTGGCTGCTTTTCTGTGTTTTCCAGCTGGGAAGGAAATCGGACTTCTGCTGTTGTAGAGAATTAGCCACCTTTCTCCCCTTTGGTTTAATTAACTCCTTCTTCACCTTGACCAACCATCATGAAGTGCTCTGAAAATGCTTGATCAGCTGTATTGGGCGTGGTGATATGACATGTTACCTCTCTGTGATTTCAACCATGACTCCACACCACATCATCTCTATCTCTGGGGAATGCAGTAGGTTCCCAGCAGTGTATTAACGTTGTATGAATAAGTTTGAAAGGGATTAAAATCTGTTTAGTTTTTTTCCTCACTCTTTGGCACGGTGGCTTTTTAAACTTTTGTTATTGAAGATATTAATGACTGCTGAATTTTAAACTAAATGCAATAACTATCAAACATTATTTTATAAACAATTGTATCTCTAGTCTTCACAGTCTTAGAAAGCCCACACGGAATGTTCTCTTGAATTACTTAATTCAAAAAAGTTTAGTTATTTCATGTTAATTTAAAGATCCTTTGGTACTCATTAATTTATTTTCATGACATTTATATTATTTACCTAAAGAGAGAGAACATGAATTTTTTAAACATCAGTAAAACTTCTAGGTAAAGTGTGTAAATTTAACTTTAAATTTTAATGTAAATATGATCCTTTATTTTGAAAAAAATTATAACGACTCATCTGTTAAAATGTGGAATCTATAAAATGTACTCTACTTGTTGATGAACCCTGTGAAAGGAGTCAGTCTCATTCTGGAAGTGTTTTTTCAAATTTTTCATACACACACAAGTGCACACGTTCCCTCCCACCTCACCAACCTCTGCCCCTGCCAACTCCCCCTTGCCTGCCACCAGCATGTCCTTGGAGCCAGTCATCTAACAGCAGACTAACCTGTGGATTCCTTTAGCCTGTGTGAGGTGTCATTTCCAATCATTCACTTCTCTAGTTAGAGTTTACAAACCTGAAAGGTGACCAACCTTTCTAGTAAATACCATTAACTCACTAATAGAATTAAATTTTCTCCTAGATTACAGATCTCCATTTATTGCCTCTGTTAGCGACCAACATGGGGTTGTGTATATTACTGAGAACAAAAACAAGACTGTGGTGATTCCGTGTCTTGGGTCCATTTCAAACCTCAATGTGTCACTTTGTGCAGTAAGTAACACCTTCTTCAATCATCTCTTAAATTTCCATAATTTTAAGCCAAAATTAAGATGGATATCCTGTTTATAATAATATTTCCACCATGAGTGGCAAAGACCCTTTAGGAAGGGTCAGTTGACAGTGAATAAAACCAATTTTTATTCTTAAAAATAAGGAGGATTCTTGGGTGATTATTGTGCATGCATCTCGTTTTTGGATAGTACTGGATTAAATATTTGATATTTCTTTCTATTGCTCAGAGGTATCCAGAAAAGAGATTTGTTCCTGATGGCAACAGAATTTCCTGGGACAGCAAGAAAGGCTTTACTATTCCCAGCTACATGATCAGCTATGCCGGCATGGTCTTCTGTGAAGCAAAAATCAATGATGAAAGTTACCAGTCTATTATGTACATAGTTGTGGTCGTAGGTGAGAGGACAGTTCCTTTCTATATCATTACTATCCTGGAGACTGAGGTATAGAGTGAAGGACAAGGGATATTAAAAAAATATATTAACTCAGGATATGGTATTGGGCAATTTATTACATCTACTCTTTTCTAGCAAATAAACCCATGTGCAATTTAGTTTTTCTCCTTTCTTGTTAAGACCAAGGATAAAAAAAGAATGTTATTATAGGAGCACATTTTATAAAAAATTTAATGTTCAGAGCATTGCTTGTTATGAATTCTTTAAATTATACCTATTTTATGAAAAGTTCAGCAATTTGCTAAAGCTGGCCCCGTGGGTCCAGGGCCCCTGAAATTGTACTACTTTTATATCCACTGGACTATAAATTCTTTGAGATCTCTGAAGGTCATGCTTTGCAAATATCTGTAGGCCATTTTCCTGGGAGCTACCAAGTATTGCTGAGCCCCTCAGGGGAAAATGATGTGGCCCATGTTAAAGTTTCATCATTTTTGAAAAAATTTGTGCCAAAATATAGGTTCGCTTTCCCGCTCACTTTCTGTTTTCTCAATTTATTTGCTCCAGGCTACAAGATTTATGATGTGGTTCTGAGCCCCCCACACGGAGTTGAGCTATCTGTTGGAGAGAAGCTTGTCTTAAATTGTACAGCAAGAACTGAGCTAAACGTGGGGATTGACTTCAACTGGGAACACCCTTCTTCAAAGGTAACACTAACAATTCAAAGCCAGACCTCTAAATACTTTGATAGTAAGCCCCAATGGAGTTTGTTTGAGAGATAGAGTCTCTCAGGCCAGATAAAATATAAAGGCCTTACACACACACACACACACACACACACACACACACACACACACACACACACACACTTTAAGAGAAATGCAGAGCACACAGCCCCCACAAGAAGATGCAATGCCAGGAACTCTGACCCATGCTGCTGTAATCAGGCTGTGAATATTAGTTTTCTCTAGATGATTGCATCTTTCCACGTTATGTTGTTTTTCTGTTCTCTGAGGTCCTTATCTATTTTCCCTATAAGGAAATTTCTCTTTAAGAGGTGGTCTGAGATACACTTTTCCTTAAATGGTGGTCATATTTGCTTGTGCTTCCGTAGCTCATATGCATCTTATTCTCACCATATGAGGTTTTTAAAATCCTAATTCAGTTGGTTCCATGCATTTCTCCTGAAATCAAATATATGTGTTGTCTGCACAATGTTAAAAGTTATGGAGTCCTTATTTTTAGCTTTAGATAGTGTTCACCAAGGGCCAACACTTAATTTTGTGGGTAACTAGAAGCTATTGGGTAATGTTATGCTGGGCTTTAGAAGTTCAGTAAATTCTTTTCTCAGCATCAGCATAAGAAAGTTGTAAACCGGGACTTAAAATCCCAGTCTGGGAGTGAGATGAAGAAATTTTTGAGCACCTTGACTATAGACGGTGTAACCCGGAGTGACCAAGGATTGTACATCTGCGCAGCATCCAGTGGGCTGATGACCAAGAGGAACAGCACATTTGTCAGAGTCCATGGTAAGCTGAGATCTCCTCAGGAATTATGCTGTGCCTCGAAAAGTGAGATAACTTGAATAATTATCAATTATTCAGTTGTAGGTCAGGTAGTGATTCCTATTTTGTTCATTCAAAAGATACTTTTGAGCTCTTGCTAGGGAGGCCACATGACCTAGAGTTTAAGAGAATAGCTTTGTAGTCAGGGACTTGGGTTCAAATTCCAACTGTAGAGATGAAACGAACTAATACAGCAAGTGCTCACTAAATATTACTTGCAGTCCTTGCTGCAATTATAATTCTTACTATAATAAGTTAAGTATTATTATCTAAGGTAGTTTCTAAAATTTCACTTTACTGCAAGGCTGAGAGGTCTACTTGAATAAGCATGAACTTTGCAAATTGAGGAAACCTGGATTCAATCACTTTCTGTGGGGCTTTGAACAAATCATCTTAATTTTTCATTTACTGTCTTTCACTCACGTAAATGTCTTGGTTTAGAAGATAATTTATATCGCACCCTACTTATAAGCCTTGGTAAGCATTTTGGATTTATAATGGACAAGAGTAGGGAGGCCAGTTAGGAGACTAATTGCAATAATCCAGGTGAGAGATGGTGGGTGGCTTGGACAAGGGTAGTAGAAGTGGAAGTAGTGGGAAGTGATCTGATTTTGGATATATTTTAAAGGTAGAGTCAACAGGAAGGATCTGTTGATTGGTTCATTGGCTGTGGGTGTAAGAAAGAAAAAAGAGTAGAAGATGACTGTTGAGCTTTAGCATGAACAAGCTCATAAATGGTGATGTTATTTTCTGAGATAGGGAAGATTGAGGGGTGAGTGAGATTTGGGGAAAGAGTGTTGGGTTTGTCCATTTGGAGATACCCATTAAACATCCAAGTGGCGATATTTAATACGTAAACCTGGAACCCAGAGAAGTCAGGGCAGGAGATATAAACTCAGAAGTTGTATAAATGGTACTTTAAACCTGGGACTAGAGGAAGGTGTGGATAAAGAGAAGAGGTCTGAGGACTGTGTCCTGGGCATATCACACGTGTGTAGAGAGTGTCATGGGAGCAGAAAAGGAGCACCCAAGGGTCCCTGGAGGACTTAGAGGAAGGTACACAGAGGAGCAGATGTTTGAATTGAGACTTGAGCAATGAGCAGGCTTGCAGGAGTGCACAGGGGGGAGAGGAAAGCAAATGTGAAAGACGAGGTGTGGGAGCAGCTGGAATGTGACCTGTAGAAAGGGAGTATGGGGAGTCTCAAACTGCAGCCGCTCAGAACCCCAGGGTCTTCGACTTTTCACTTGAAATGGAAAACTAAACCAAACGACCATTTACAACAGGTTGATATTTATGAGAATAATTATTTTTATTTTCTTTCAGAAAAACCTTTTGTTGCCTTTGGTAGTGGCATGGAATCTCTGGTGGAAGCCACAGTGGGAGACCGTGTCAGAGTCCCTGTGAAGTGCCTTGGTTACCCACCCCCTGAAATAAAATGGTAACTATGGGAAATAAATGCAAAACCTTGTTTCACAGGAAAGCAAGTCCTTCAGTTGTACTAATTCCTGGGACTTTTTTTCATAGGTATAAAAATGGGAGACCCCTTGAGTCCAATCACACAATTAAAGTGGGGCATGTACTGACAATTATGGAAGTGAGTGAAAAAGACACAGGAAATTACACCATCATCCTTACCAATCCCATTTCAAAGGAGAAGCAGAGCCATGTGGTATCTCTGGTTGTGAATGGTGAGTCCATTCAGTTTTCCTCTCTGCCCAAGATTTATAATGAAGAGTATGACTGTTTTCCTAAACTGCCACACCACCATTCCTTTCTTTCCTGCTGCTTCACCCTCATCCTGATTGGACGTATGTATAAAAATGGTCGAGGGTGGTGGAGTTGAAATGCCATGTGGGACAGGGTGCTCTGGCTGTGTTTGCTTAAGAGGCCATGTAGACAAGTGGTTTGATGGTCAAATGCAATTTTAGAGAAGATGGTACACTTGATGGCCTAATGCTGTGAAATCAGGATGCCTACAGGACAGTCGTCAAGGCTACGTGCTCTACCTTTGTTCCTGTCTCATGGCATTTGCACACCTTCTATGCAGATGTGTTAGACTCTTCTCCTTGAATTTTGTGCAAAGCTTCCAGTTTGAAGTTGTAGTTGGTGTATCAGTGTTGGGCAGTCAGATTCCAGCTCAGAAGGCTTTGGCAGGTTGACACTGTTGGCTTGGTTGGAATTTTTTTTTTTTTTTTTTGACGGGAGTTCAGAATCTGACTCTGAGTCTGTAAGTGAAGATAAATTTTTGATTTAAGGATGATTTCAACTTTGTTTTCTCAAACTGGAAAGATATAAATAAGGGTTTGGGGTGGGGAAAGAAGAGTGCCATGGTCAAGTGAGAGCAGGAGGAGCTAAGGTGATATAAAACTGGTTTCGTTATTGCGGGACTTCTCAGGACCTACCTTTAATATACCCATGTATATTGTCATTCTCCAGCGGGAGAGACATAGAGTATACGGGGTTTAACACACGTATTTGGCCAGAGCCCTTTTCCCCTAAGTACATCTGTTAGCATCTTGCTCCAAGCAGTTTGGGGACCACTTCTCTGTTGTAATTCTTTTTCTTCCTACTGTCATGGCATATTAAAACTTCAGGATATTCTCACAGGACATTAAGGTGCTTCCCCTCATGTCCTGATACTCCTCTGTATATCTGCTGAGCTTGGCCTCATTTCTTTTCTTTTTTTGCGGGGGGGCGAGGAGGGTGATGGGGGGAGTATTTTAAAGATAACAGGTTCTGGAAAGGTTACTTAGAAGTGGTGTGGGAGCAGGGGATTGGGGAGGGGAGAGAAACTGGAAAGCTAGTAAGTAGGACGGGAGAAGAAATGAACAAGAAATAAAGACAGAAAAATGGACAGTGGATATCCCTATTTCATCAGTTCACAAAGTCACTAAACATTTGGTTCACCCTAGCATTTACCCCGCTGCATGAAATAAACATAAAAAAGAAGTCAAGTTTTAAAGTATAACCTGAGGCTTTAGGTTGACAGTGATAAGAGAATAGTTTTGCACTAATGACTTTGGAGCCAAAAAAAGAAAGCAAGAAAGAAGGAGAGAAAGAGGAAGGGAAGAAGAAAGAAAGGGGATGTGGGGGGGGTGAGAGAGAGAGAATGAAAAACAAGGCTGATGGCAATACTGGTGCATTCTAGAAGGATTTGCACCTTCCTTTGTAATGCAGTGGTTGAGTGCTTGGGTTCAGAGATTGGAGTGTGTAGGTTTGTTCTGGGTTTTGCCACTAATGACTGGGTGACGTTTCTATGTTTCATTTTCCACATGTGTAAAATGGGGGCCAATAATAGTGGTTGTGAGGATTAAGTGAATTAATTGATGCAAAGCACTTAGAACAATGCTTGGCACATAATAAATGTATTTACTATGTTATTCCAACTATTTTCTCTCTGTAGCCTTGCCCTGATCTTGTGAGATTGGGGAGGACAGGGCGAACTATCTCTATAATGTAGATGAGAAAAACTGAGCCCCAGGATTTTGAGACTTGCATAAAGTCACTCAGCTTATTAGTCTTCTATTATTATTAGCTTCTTGTTATTTTCATTATTATTAGCTTATTATCTGAAACTTTATTGTTACTTTTATGAGTATCACTAGAGCTCAGGTTTCCTGCTTCCAAGTGTAGATATTGTCTGAAAAAGAAAGTGGGGGCAAAATCATATGCTTAAAAAATGTTAACTTTAGTTGCTGAAATCCTCTACTTTCCATTCCTCAAAGCTGATTGACAATTCAGGAGTTGTCTTTCCTGTCTCCAGTCCCACCTCAGATTGGTGAGAAATCTCTGATCTCTCCCATGGATTCCTACCAGTACGGTACCACACAGACGCTGACGTGCACGGTCTACGCCATGCCTCCCCCACTCCACATCCACTGGTATTGGCAGCTAGAGGAAGAGTGCTCCAGCACGCCCAGGCGAGTAGGGCTTTGTGCTCTTTTTTTTCATGCTGTTTGTATTTCTTATAGCCTAGCTATGATGTGACTCCATTGTAAACCGAGAAGGCTATCCCTAAGAAAGTTCTCCCTTCAGTGACACTCTGAATCTCCTTCCATCTTTCTCTGTGTTTAAGTTTTAGGAAATGTTTTTGCTTGGGGTATTCCACTTGGGGATTAGCTCGTGCTTTTGTCTTAGGTTTTCCCTGATGTGCACTTCTCCAAATGCAAGCCATTTGCACAGTCTGCTAATTGCCAATCTTTGGTTTTTCTCTTTATGCAATCAAGGGGTGAGCACCACATCACTCCTTATCGGTGAGAAGGTCCATCTCAGAGGAAACACTGATGGACGTGAGGCAGCGATAGACCTCAGAGTCTCAGGCCCAGCTTATCATGTTCTAACACAAGTCCAGATATCCTTAAGGGAAAAACACAAAACCACCACCAACCCACCACCACCCTAAGCAATCCACTTCCTGTTGTTGTTTTTGAAATGACCACCGCTAGTTTCTCCCTCAGCTGTTGACCATTTCCTACACAAAGGCCACAGTCCCAGAGAAATTACTTTAAGAAGCCCAGTGGTTTCTAAGTTTCCTTGCCTTCCTTTGAACTAAATTAACTTGAATTGTCTTGTCGATCCAATTTATGAATGGAGGTTTGTTCCCAGAATAGCTGCTTCCCTCCTGTATCCTGAATGAATCTACCTAGAACTTTTTCCTTTAGTGCCGTGGCCTATTTTTAATTGGCGTCAAGTCTTGTAATATGGTAGGCTGCATTGAAAGTTATTTCTAAGAACATATTAACCAAAGTCTGACTCTTTTTCTTATTACTGATTTGAATTATAGAAAAATTAAATCATAACATGATCTGTTATCTCTTTCTTATAGCCAAGCTGTCTTAATGACAAATCCATATATTTGTAAAGAATGGAGAAATGTGGAGGACTTCCAGGGGGGAAATAAAATCGAAGTCAACAAAAATCAGTTTGCACTAATTGAAGGAAAAAACAAAGTGAGTTCGAAGTTCTTTAATTTGAAAATCTTTTTCTCTTTCTCTCTCTTTAATGGAAGGATGGTGCAATAATATGTGAGGCAGATTGGAGATTAATAATCAGACTGGATTATAAAATACTAGCATATTAGGTAGGTTTGAAAACATCATTGACTTTTAGTAGTTCTATTAACTTATTAATAGCTTACTAGAGAAAAATGAATCACGCATGCCTTTAAATCTGTACATCTGTTATAAGGTGATTCTGATTTTATAAAGATGAGAGTGAGAAAATGTATATAGTGTTATATTAAAACACATCATTAATTCATGGTTTCCAAAGTCCTATTTGTATAGCATGTGAGCTACACACCAGCATAAGTGTAACTGCGTAAATTTGAGTGGTCAGTGCTGCCACAGTGGGAATGGAGTGGGCAGGTCATAGCAATTGTGGGACTGCTGAATTTTAAGTCTGAATGCATGTGCACTAACACAGCCTGCATTGTTTATGGCCTGAGATTTGTTTTTTTCACAGACTGTAAGTACCCTTGTTATCCAAGCAGCAAATGTGTCAGCCTTGTACAAATGTGAAGCGGTCAACAAAGTCGGGAAAGGAGAGAGGGTTATCTCCTTCCACGTGACCAGTAAGTGCTCCTCTCTGGAGGGGTGGGTTGGGTCACTCACAAAGTGAGTACTAAGCTGTGCAATCCTCTGTTGTCCTTGCCATTTATGTGAGTGACATGGTGTTTAGCAAGAGAACGGGAATTGATAATTGATGCTTTTGTTCATAAATTAAGACTCCTCAAGTAGCTTCTGGACTGATATGTGAAACAGAATGGTTTCATACATGCTTTAGGCCACAAGTCCTATGTCATATTTATGTCTTGATCATCAGAGTCTAGCACAGTGCATGGCTGATTGAGGCTCAGTAATCTTTGTGAGCTTGCTGCTGAACAGTCGACGAGGCTGAGTTTTCTGGAGACAATCGGAATGACATCGAGCAGTGCCCCTCCAACACGGCTGATTTTGCCTATACATCTTAGTTTTATGGATTAGCCTTAGCTGGCTGTAGTGGATAAAATATTTTAGTCTGGGCTAATTAGTAGTAATAAATGTGGCTTTATTGTCATCAGGTGTTGTATGTTAATGATGAACTAATTTTTAAAATTCAATTATGATTAGATACTCTGCTTTGGGTTTATTAATTTAAAAAACTGTTTTTAGAGCTCAAAGTGGATATGTGATAAATATCTGGGGAATTTGTTTACATTTCCAAATAATATATTTTGGCAAAGTAATACATTTTGGGACCTGAGTCATTCTGTTTGGTTGTCACCTTGTCGTACATCATCTGGGACTGCTGGAACTTCCCTTCTCTTGGCATTTTATGGTAGACCAAAGGAAACCAGAAGACGATAGTGTGTGGTACCATGTTAAATCACCATCCTCTAAATATGACTTTACATTTCAGGAGGTCCTGAAATTACTTTGCAACCTGGCATGCAGCCAACTGAGCAGGAGAGCGTGTCTTTGTGGTGCGCTGCAGACCGAGCTACGTTTGAGAATCTCACGTGGTACAAGCTTGGCCCACGGGCTCTGCCGATCCATGCTGGAGAGTTGCCCACGCCTGTTTGCAAGAACTTGGATGCTTTTTGGAAATTGAATGCCACCATGTTCTCTAATAGCACAAACGACATTTTGGTCATGGAGCTCCAGAATGCATCCTTGCAGGATCAAGGAGACTACGTCTGCTTTGCTCAAGACAAGAAGACCAAGAAAAGACATTGTGTGGTCAGGCGGCTCACGGTCCTCGGTAGGGAAGCAACTCTGGATCATTGTCCAGATACATTTGCAATGCCTTAAATGTAGTGCTTTCAGGTGCTGTGTGAAGATTATTTTCCTCTCACCTTGGAGCTTATGAAGTAGACTAGTACACACTTATATTATTCACTGAAAGTCCTTGAGGGAGAAAGAAGCTAATAATGGTGAAGTGATGCATTAAAAAGAGGAAATAACATGATTCTTTCCGACCCTGCTGGTGGGGTAACTCACTAGCATCTGCGAGGGATTAGCTTGAACCAGGAAGATTTCTGCCTAATATTCTTGGGCATTCATTGATTTAAATAGACACATATTTATGGAATGCCTACTACGAGCTAGGAGAGTTCCAGAAGTTCACAGTGGTAAACACGATGGACAGTATGAAAACATAGATGAGGGGTCATCTGTGTGAGGACAGGGATTGTTCTCTATTTTGTTCCCTGTTTAGCTGTGGTCATAGAATGTAGTGGTACATACTAGATGCCCAATAAGATATCTGCTGCACAAGGAGCGTGATGATGGGCTGAGTTTGGGACCTAGGAGAGTCCACAGAAGGGTGCTGCACTCACTGCCTGTACCTCTGGGCCTTCTCGCGTGGTCCAGCATAGCTCAAGGTCAATAGGACGATTATCTTAGTGAGCAGATAGCCTTGTTAATTCCCCGTGGAGCCACTCTTTACGCCTTGTCTAACCTCATGCTTCATGCAAGGCTGGGCAGCCACTTCTCTGTCTCTGGGGAAACCAGGCAAATTTGGGGAGTTTCTCTTTGTGCCATCTCCCCCCATTTTCTCCTCCTTTTAGTGTTCCTTCCCAGTTCCTAGGATGCATATGTCCTGTGTTTATTACTGTTAGGAAGGGGAACTGCCTATGTAAACTAATCTATGCCAAAGTTTTGGAGGAATGATGTCTTCTCAGAGGCCATGGCGTATTTTAAGAGATCTCTTCAGATAGACACTAGCATAATGGTTGCTAGTTTTAAGACTCAGGATCAGAAGAATAGATATTTTTGGGTCAAGTCATCCCCAAAGCCCTTCAAATCACACCACATATATGACCGTGTATTTTCTGTTGACATTGGTGGCTGGTCTGGTTTCAAGCTAATGGAAGAATTCGGGAAGAGATGTGAAGGAGGCTCCTGGCCTTGCCATGCTGAGGAAATATGTGCATGAACTGGTTAGCTGGTTTGCTTTCCTAAGGATTTCCAAGTTGTTTTCCTAAAATCTGTTCTTAGACATAGACTAGCATCCAGTACATTTGCTTAATCCCCAATGTGGAGGAACGCTGAAGTGATCTCATTTTGCTAAGTGTCGAAGTGGATTCTTTCAGCATTGTTTTGATGCTCAGTTTGATTTGGACAAGGTATCTCCACAACACTTTGACAATTTGTAGGAAAAGGATAAATCTAAAGTTTTTTATACACTTAAGCAAATACTCATGGGCTTCGTTTTTATTATTTTTTAAAAAATCCTTGACTTTCCTTAGGATATTGTTGTTTTGTCTGTGTTTTTAGAAATAGTACTGGATGGTCTTTTAGGCTCACAAGATTCTTTTACTAGATCAACTGTTTACTTAGTTATAGGGACTCAAGTTGTTTAAGCCCCTGGAACTGCAGTTATTTCATGTGCAAAATGCGGCTAATAGTTCTGTCCTGCCCATTGCAGAAGATTGACAGTGAATAAGAGAAATAATATTAAATGAGTTTTGTAAAAATTGCCAAATAAATATGTCATTCTTTGTTTGTTGAATTACACTGAAGTTTGGTACTTTCCAAGAAAAACATGGCAGAATTCTAGGCTATTATTGGCTAGAGCTTTCAGAGGAGGGAAATTTCCCCCTGGGGAGGCTGAGTCTGATTAAAGGAAAAATCCATAAAAGTGACCATGAACCTTTATTTTGTGTTGTGATTACCAGCTAGAGTCACCAATATGAGTGTTTAAAGACATGCAGTAATCTGTCTGAACTGTCCTAATTTACTTTTTTCATTTAATTTAGTGACCAGCAGTGCTACCAACTTCTGTGTATTTTTAGCTTAGTAAATCAACAGGTTGCTGTTTACTAAGTTTAAAGTGTTTAAAAATTTACTGATACTAAAACTATTCCAAAAGTTATAACTACATGTTCTATGATTTTCTTTTATGTGTATAGAGCGCATGGCACCCATGATCACGGGAAACCTAGAAAATCAGACAACAAGTATTGGGGAAACCATTGAAGTTTCATGCACAGCATCTGGGAATCCCTCTCCACAGATTACATGGTTTAAAGATAATGAGACACTTGTGGAAGACTCAGGTGAATAGAACTTGTTTCTCTCTCTTTGGTGGCAGAGCTTTCTCAAGGATGTTACCTAAAACTCATATTATTTCTTGATGCATTTAAGGTAGAAAAAAGCATGTCAGTGTACATGGTCAGGCTCATTTCCTAGACTTGGAATCAGAGTATTCAGAGCCTTGTTGAATTCTCATGGAAGCCTCACGGGAGATCAGTCTGCAGTTGATTCTGTGTGTCTCTTCGGAGTTAGATAATAGCCCAAGATGAAGGGCAGCATTTATATTTTTAAAGGTTTTCCTGAAAAACTGAACAGACCACATTATCATAACTAAGAATAATGTTTTCCTCCTCTCTTAGGCATTGTATTGAAAGATGGGAACCGGAACCTAACTATCCGCAGAGTGAGGAAGGAGGACGGAGGCCTCTACACCTGCCAGGCATGCAGTGTTCTTGGATGTGCAAAAGTGGAGGCGTTTTTCATCATAGAAGGTCAGTGGGAAGTCATAGACACATCAGTGCTTTCTAAAGATTAGCTGTATCTTGTATGGAATCATAACCTTTGGGTGGGACAACTGGAGATTTTTAATGTTCTTTGTAAATTTCCTTCAGTAAGTATATATTCTTTTAATCAGAAAACATAGTTAATGTTGTTTTCATTCTGCTAGAATCACAGTGTCTATTCCTGTAGTTCTTATGATAGAAAAATTCTTAGCCAGGCAGGATGAATTTCTTCTTCTCCCTGAGTCTGTCTTTGTTTGAATGGCTTGATTAACTTATAGAAATGATACCTCTATACTTATTTGGCAAAACATTAGAATTGCTACCTAATCATAAAGGTCAGTGCTATCCAGGTTGTCACAAGGGTTTAGAGTTTTCATTGGACTAAAGATAATTAAGATTCACTTGTGAACAATAGACCATTGCTTTTTTGAAATGGAAAATTTGGGGTTCTTATGTAAATATGAAAGGAAATCTGTGTGTATGCAGGAGTGATGTGAAATCTCAGATAGGAAAAGTAATTTGTGACAGAATATTTTATCTTAAGAAGTGTATTTCTTTGTCTTTTTTTATAACCCACCAGTGGAACAATGAAACTGTATTGTGTGGGTAAGGGAATGGTATGCAAGGGGAAGAAAGAAGGTGGTGATAGAAAGGGGAATGATGGATTTCTATGAACCCATCCTAACTTGTCCCTCAAAGTCTAGATTTTGGTCTCTTTCATCTGTCAAAGCTATGTTGCCAAGTATTGCATTTAGATACACTAACCTGTTTTCAAATCTGTAGGCTTATTACCATTTCATAGACTGAACTTAAAAATAAAGATTCCAAAGGACACCGTGGTTTTGTCAATATAAAGTGATTCCTATTTAGGGCGGATGCTTAGGGAGGATGCCCAGATTCTCCCCAGTGCTCTGCAGCTGGTTATGGATGCCTGACTAGCTAACACTGACACAGAGATGCTAGTTACTTCTTACCTGGAGAGAATACTATGAAAGTGAGAGGTAGATATTTAACACTCCTGCTAGGTCCCAAATGTTATGTAAACAATTAGATCTATGAACTTCTTACTCTCTGTGTACAAATGGACTTTTAAATCTCTATGTATAAATAGAGAATTACTTCACTAGGACCACCAGAGAAACAAAATATACTTCTTGACATACGAGGGGTCTTCATCAAGTTCATGGATGATTCATATTATCTTTTAATGCCAATTTGCACATACTCCTTGAAGTACTCCATACTTGGTGCTTGTCTCTCAACTGTTAACATTTATTTTGATAACTAATTAATTACTTGTCTTCTGCCTTCTCGAGGATGCTGCGATGGGCCATTCTCACAGCTAGTGGCCCAGTTTGATTCACACTGCGCTCTTCTGATGGGACACCTCGAGTGATGATTGCTTCCTTATCAATTCTTTGCTAATCACTTTTAGTTAAAAGCCTCCTTCTTCATTTAATTTCTCCCACTCAGAGCTGTCCTCTGGAGCCCTGAGCATCTGCAGCTTTCCTAGCCGACCTCTGGCTTTTCCTTTTCCCTTTCCTTTCATGAGTGGTTTAAACTCCCACGACCAGGCCATGCATGATGTACTCATCTCAGCTCTCTCTCTTTTCCTCACTCAGGCTCTGCCACACAGGGACAGGGTAGTGGAATGGTTAGCTTTTGTTGGACAGACATCATTTAACTCTTGACCATTACCACCAACTAGCTGTGTGCCCTCGATCAAGTAGCTTAACCTCTCTGATCTTCTGTTTCTTTATCTGAAAACTGAGGATGGTCGAGAAGATTAAGTGGGGTAATGTATTTAAAGTGATGAGTGCAGAGTGCATAGTAGGTGAGTGGTCACCAGTAGCTCTCTGGTCAAAGGACTTCATTTATTTCCCTACTTGGTTTCTTAAACAATCCTTTTTCAAACTTTGCACAGATCAAAACACTGACGATCAGCATAAAACTAGACTCTTATTTTCCCAAGATAGAAATACTTTTCTTCTCTTTAGAACATGATCTGTTTTCTTTTCCTCAAAAACTGTTCTTCTTCCAAAAACTTTCTATGGTTGTCTTTTAAGACATTAATGCTTGTATCCTTAACTACTTTAGAATTTTACTGCTGGAAGTTTTCATGAGCAATGTTTTTCAAGCTTTACGTTTTTCATTAGGAATGCTGTAGACTCCATCCAAGTTAGGGGTATGTGACTATTGTCCTCTAGAATCTTTCCAAGTTGGTAAGCCTGAGATTTTGCCTTACTGCTGAACCGTTCATCTTATATCAAAAGATATGAATTTCCAAGTGTTGATGCTCATTTAATTGTGTCTTTCTAGGTGCCCAGGAAAAGACAAACTTGGAAGTCATCATTCTAGTAGGCACTGCAGTGATTGCTATGTTCTTCTGGCTACTTCTTGTCATTGTCCTGCGGACCGTTAAGCGGGTAACAAAATAATTTCCTTTCTGTCCCATGTGCATTGATTTTCATGATTAATGAAAGCTGACTGGGGTTCTTTGAGTTGTTTCTTCCCATTGTTATTGGCTCAATGGGCACATTTTTATTTCAATACAATAACATTCTTGCCTACTTTCTTTTGGCTGGACCACTGGGCTTTAATTGATAGAAACCACTAGAGGGGAAAAGGGCTTGGACTGTCTAGTGTAATTAAGATTTAAAAACTTAATTCTGAGCTTTGGGGGATAAGTGAACACTGAAAGCAGGATTATAATAGGACTGCTCTCAAACTCCATGAGTTTTGTTGGGAAATGAGACATCAGGAATAAAGCTCCTGTAAACAATCACAAGCACACAAAACAACAGGGTGTATGTGACTGGAAGGATTGATGCTTTCCAGGCCAATGGAGGGGAACTGAAAACAGGCTACTTGTCCATCGTCATGGATCCAGATGAACTCCCCTTGGACGAGCATTGTGAACGCCTGCCTTATGATGCTAGCAAATGGGAATTCCCCAGAGACCGGCTGAAACTAGGTGTGTTTTCAATCCATGTTAATTTGATATTTGTTTATCAGGCCATCTCTTCCTCCTTTAGGATCATGACAAACTTAGTCTATTTAGATGTTCGATTCTGGTTCAGAATTTTCATTTCTTGAGTTTGGGTAATCATCTATATAGCCACTTAGAAGTAGGGTCCCTGTATAATTATACAAAACAGAACATTTGGAGAATAAAGGGGGAATAATAAAATAAATAAGCCAGTACGAGGTGGTAAACTGGATTGTCCATGTTAAAATGGGATGTATTATCACCCCATCTAGTTGGAATCTCTGCATATCACTTTGGTGGTGTAGTAATCCAAGTCTGTTTTTTTGTTGTTATTATTGTTGACTCTAGGTAAGCCTCTTGGCCGTGGTGCCTTTGGCCAAGTTATTGAAGCAGATGCCTTTGGAATTGACAAAGCAGCAACTTGCAAGACAGTGGCCGTCAAAATGTTGAAAGGTAAAAGCAGAATTACATGATGATATCTTTCTCTCTCTGTTTCATCTAAACATGGTGCAAGACTTCTATCAGTGGCTCTGTGCTTAGGTGGGCCCACTCGCCAAGCATGCAGCCAGCCTATATAATGCCTTTGTGCATACTGGAAAAAGGTTCCCCCTTTGTAGTCTCGGGCCAGTGTGCATGCCTGGCAAGCAAAGTTGGAGATTGGTTTTACCTACCTTGCCTGGGAACCCTTGTGTAGGGGTCAGCTTGCACACTTGTGCTTAGTCGTCCTGGTTACAGGGGAAAAAAAGTACCTTGGTTATTTTTAAATTGTTTCTTAATTTATTATGGTGTAAGATAATTATAGACTATCTAGAAACATGGAAAGGAATTTGATGTAAGTAAAAACAATAGAATGCAAAACCAGCATGTTCTCTAGAATTGAAATATATAAAAGATCTTCACATATAAAAAGTAATTTGCAAAATAATGGTTGTGCTAAGAAAAAAGATGATGGATGATTTTTTAGAAATTAAAAGCTTTATAAATGATTTTTAATCCTAATAGTAGTGGGCTTCTGGTCTTGCCATTTTAATTTGGCGGGGGCAGTTAATGCATATAAAGCTTTTTGCTCCAAATATGTTGTGCTTTCATTGATGAAGACAATGCCAATGACCCTTTGCCAATAGGTCTGTGCATTTCAAAGCCATATCTCTCCTTTTGCCTTTTCTCTCTTGTGCCAAGGGGGCATGTAGTTTTGAGGTGGCTCATCAGTCTGAAGTGTGGACTGTACCTGTGAATCAGAGAAAAGTAGACCAGTCCATATAGGATCAAACACATAGTCTTAGGGCCATCAGCCTCATGAGCCAACTGGCCTTGCCAGCTGGGCCTTGTTAAGTTGCCTGCTTGGTACAGATGGACTAAAACAACAGTATAGATCCCAACACATGAGGATATTTAATACATGGTGTTGCTTCCTTATGTGGAAGCACTGAGATGATCAGGCTTAGAAGCATAGTAAACCTGAAATACAAAAGTCCAGTTTTATAAAAGAAGAGAATCTGAGCATGATTCCATTGCAGATGTACAAGTAAGTACGAGTGTTTTCTACTTTGCAAAAGACTTCACAGCGGATTCCTTTAATAAGCATTCTGGGTTCACTTAAAGTAAGAATCTGATTTCAAATTAGAAAATAGAATTTACACTTGACTTTTAAGGAAATGCACGTAGTCTGTAAATTAGGTTACAGTTGTCTTACCCCTGGAGGGCAAGTTGCACAGTTGCATGTGGTGGAGAGAGGGGCATCACTCATCCTAAGGTAATGCCCATATTTATGGTTTCCCTCTTTGCCCTGTATGTATAGAAGGAGCAACACACAGTGAACACCGAGCCCTCATGTCTGAACTCAAGATCCTCATTCATATTGGCCACCACCTCAATGTGGTCAACCTTCTAGGTGCCTGTACCAAGCCAGGAGGTGAGTAACTGGATGGTCCTGGTTCCCCAATTTTGACACAATCTTCTCTGCTCATATCTGAGGGAAACCACTCAACTCCCATAGCCTTGATCTCTTTAACTTAAAATACTTAGTGGATTTCTAGATATAAATAAACTTGAATTTCATGGAGGTTTAATGGGCACTGTAATTAAATTACTCTAAAACTTTCTCTGAATTAAGAAATGTGACATCACTATGATGCAATTTGCTACTTATGAAATAGATATTCAGATGAGAAAACTAAACTTGCCCCAAAACTTCAAAGCAAGGGATCTTAACAGTGGTTCCCCTCGAAATGGGGTCACCTTAGGTGATTGCACTGAAAAGCAAGTGGTTGGATTTTCTTCTGAAATTTTGGTTAGTCTTATTGTGGAATTGTCTTTTGGAAAAAGAAAAGCTATAATAAAGGGGATTGGGACAAGCTGATTTCTATGATCCTTTCTCAATGACAGGTCTTCTTCTAAGGTCTTTTTGGGTCCGTCAGTATATTAAGAACTTAGTGAGAAACATGAATGAAACATGTTTTCCTTTCTTGACATGCTGTGCTATCTGTAGGGCCACTCATGGTGATTGTGGAATTCTGCAAGTTTGGAAACCTATCAACTTACTTAAGGAGCAAGAGAAATGAATTTGTCCCTTACAAGGTATGTCATTTCCTAACTCAACTCTGGCTCTGTTGTAAAATGAAGGAAAACTCAAAGTGGTGCAGGTTAGTTTTTTGGTTGAAATTCTGTGAGAACTTGTGAGGATCTCGCCTTACTTCTAGGTGTTGTGACTTCTTTTACCTTCTGGGTGAGGTACACTTCCCATGCTCCATTCTTGTCTTTAATCTACTGACCCATTCTAGAGTAACAGCTTTGGATTATTTATTTTCTCTCTCCCTAGCCATATTTGGCCCATGGAGTGTAAATCCCTCTGTAAAGAGCATGCTAATGTTGGACATGTGTCTGATGCAACTTGAAATGAGGCATTTATCTCTTTAAGCTAAGGAAGGAGCTAGGCTTTATAGAAGAAATCCTTGTCCAAAGGATTTTGGACAAGAAAAACTTGTCCAAAATTTCAGCCTAGAGACAGTACAATCCTGAAACTGATGTCCTTCTTGTCTTTTTTTTTTTTAATAGTCTCAATTGTTTCCACAGTATACTGCATTTTAGATACCTGTTAGGTATTCGAGGAGTTTGTTCATTTTCTTCTTTATAGACCAAAGGGGCACGATTCCGTCAGGGGAAAGACTATGTTGGGGAAATCCCTGTGGATTTGAAACGCCGCTTGGACAGCATCACCAGTAGCCAGAGCTCCACCAGCTCTGGATTTGTTGAGGAGAAATCCCTCAGTGATGTGGAAGAAGAGGAAGGTACCTGCCATTGCTTTTTCCATGCTTAACCCATGCTCTTGTAGGAATAAACAAGGTAAAAGGATCTCACAAGGAATTTGGTCATGGGAAAATTCCAGTACTACATCATATTTGAAAGAGACCTGAATTTCTAGATGGCCTCCATTCAGTCTCCCAAAAGTGAAGTGTGGTAGCCCTAAAAAAGCAGAGGGCTAGGTTGTGAGGCAAAGCAGAGCTAGCCTAAGAAGTCTGCGTAGCCCAAGTGGGCTAAGCAGTCAGCACCAATCACACTAATACTCTTAAAATATTGGTTCAGTGGGAGAGGCTAAGTGCTATGTTCTGGATGGGCAAAGAAGGCTCTGGTGGCTGATTAACCTCCCTGTTGCCCTAAGTGCTTCAGCCCCACATTTGCATACCTCACCAGCACAGCACAAATCTTTCAGTTCATCATGCCTACCCTTCTCCAAGGTGGCTAAGGACCACCTGTTGTTTCTACCCCACCTCAAGTGGCTTATCAAGCCTTCCTTCCAACCATATTTCCTCAGAGAAGTCTTGGTAAATACACCTTTCTTTATCCTGTTACATTTCCAATGATATTTTAGTGTTCTTTATGGATGGAGCTTTGGCCCTAGCCCAACTTCCAGGACTTCACCTAGCACCAGGATAAGTGGTGTATCTACTTCCCTCAGAAGGAGCAGAAACAGCTCCCTGGATGTAGAGATGGGGCCTCTTCACATCTAAGACCTCTTGAGGCGCGAGTCTAGAAGAATCCACTCATGAAATGGTGGAAGAAACCCACTTTGGTTTCCCTTGACATGAGGCTACAGATAGAATTTACATCTTACTTCTTTCCCTTCGAAGCTGAGCAGGCAATGTAAGGCTGGGACTTGGTTCCGTAGAGCATGCAGAGGTTCTCTAGGCCTCACGTAACTGGGCCCACATGGAGCAGAGCAAATTCTACCTGCTCCTCTCTCACAAAACAGTGGCCATTGAGCTACGAGATGGAGGTAGTGTGTTGGAGTAGAAAGGGCAACGGCTTGGAATTTTGCCTCCCTTTCCTCATGGAGAGTGAGGGGGTTTCACCAATTGTTCACTAAGAACCCTTTAGGCCTAAGCATAACAGGTCATTGAGAAAAAGGCTCACATCATTTTTACTACTCATAAAGTTATTATTACAACTAAATTTTTGTTTACTCTGGTATTTGTCTCCAGGAAAGAAGCCGTGAGTCTTATCTTATCTGACCAAAATTAAGAGATCATTTTGAAATGTCCATTAATGTCTTAGCGTTTATTTGGACCAGTTGCACTCAAGTAAATACCACCGATTTACGTAAACTCATCTTTCTCTTATGTTCCTGTTGTCTCTCATACATATCCTTGAGGAAAAAAACATCCTCTCAGGCCTGACATAATGTAATTACAGCATTTTTTTAGTTTTAAAGTAAGAGAAGTAAATACATTTCTGGTATTTTTAGTTATCCGTTGTAGATTATGGTTTGACCTTTGGCCCTTGTCCCAGAACAAAGCCTGGAGAGAAGAGATTCAATGACCCTGAATATTGTTGTTTTATTTTTAGAGTTCTTGATATGAAACTATTGTTTACCCCTCTGGGTACATGAAAAATAGAAAAAAAAAGTTTAAAATAGCAAATTTGAAAGAGTCCTCTTTCTCTCCCTGTTATTTATACCAATTTTACCTTCATTCTGCCTCCTGGATTTACTAGTTCATTTTGGTTAAGATGGAAAAACCAGTATTTTCTGTAAGAGGTATGATTAAGGCTGATGTGATAATACCAGGATTCAGCAAATTTACAGAAGATAGAGGCATTTTCTCTCTGCTTCTATTTCCTGAAATTTAACTTCCAAGTCTTAGAAAGATTATTACTCTAGCAAACTTAGAAACAAATCGTATCGACTGGTGGAAATACTGATCCCCAATCTCCTGCCTCTTCTGACAGCCTCTGAAGATCTGTACAAGGATTTCCTGACTTTGGAGCATCTCATCTGTTACAGCTTCCAAGTGGCAAAGGGCATGGAGTTCTTGGCATCACGGAAGGTGAGATAGCTCAAGGGGAAATAAGCTATCTCTTCAGATCGCAGGTTTGGAAAGATGTTCAGTGCCAGCCACTCATGTTTGTTTGGGACTGTAATTCATTCACCACTTTAGGACTCTTGGAAGAGCTCTACTGGGGAGGCTTTGTTTCTGCTAGTTAAAAGTTGTGAAGGATTTCAGGAGATTAATTTGTATGTTAGATACTTATTGAGCATCTACTAAGTGCCAGGCAGTCATCTGAGCACTGAGGATACCTTGGTGGACAAACAGGCAGAGCTGGCCACTTTCATGGAATTTATATTCCAATGGATGAGGCCAACAATAAATAGTGTGAACAAATACAGAGTGGGTTAGACGGGAGTAAATGCCAGGGGAAAAATACAGCAGGAAGGGGTTATAGACTATATAGGAGAAGCATACACTTCTGTGTGCATGTACATCAGTTTTAAGAGAGGTGGATAGGGAAGATTTTATTCAAAATGTGAGCAATGACCTGGAAGAGGTGAGGGACTGAGCCTTGCAGATATCTTGGTGTATGAGAGTCTATTTTAATTTATTTTACATTTATCACAATCCATCAAAAAGTATTTGTTAGTAGTATAATTAGAAACCAGGAAGGACTGGCTTCAGATGAGAGCGATTAAAAGAGCTAAAATTAGAAATGTGGGCCAAACAAAGGCTGAGGTGAGGACGTGACAAGCTACAAATATTTCAGAGATTGTAAACATCATGGGGCGGTGGGGAGTGAAGTTGGTGGAACTCACCCCGCTGGAAAGGGTAAGATGCGTAGTTTTACGTTAAACAGGAAAAATTCAAATTAAGATTCAGGAAAAAACTATTCATTGACAAAATGTATTTGCTGCAGCCTATTAGGGAAAGAAAGCCTTAAGTTTTTCATTTTTTTTTTTGCTTTCTAATTTACAGTGAAATCCTTAGTCCTTTTTTCCCTGGAGTTTAAATCTCACAGCATTGAGAGCCTCAGGATCTCAGATGTTTCTGCTGGGTAGCTCTTGTGTTCTCTCTCCCAAGCGGACGGGAGAGAACTGGGGTCTTATAGGGTTTTCCCAAAGAGAAAGGCCCTTTGCCCTTCTTGAGCGTTATGATTTATTATTATTTTTTAAGGACAGAGCTCACCATTTAGTCAGGGTTCCCTTTGGTGATTAAGAAAGAAACGGACGGTGGGGGGGTGGGGCAGTGAGAAGTGGGAATCTTTTAACCTCCCTTGCAGCTTTCAGGTGATTTCTTGAATACCATCTGGTTTTTGGGCTAAAAAGGGGAAGCTCTTTAGTTCGGGGCAAAGTAGGAAGTACTGTGTGTTTTTCAGAATCCCTGGTCTTGCTTGATCATGCTAGAATATGTGGTTCTGAATATCCCTTGTTCAGGGAACAGTGCTATACAGATTTGAGGTGCAGAAACAGGGCTTCAGTAATGCCCGGCTCCCATAGTCACTCCTACAATGACTTAAGAATTCTCATCTAAGAATTCTCATTCATTTATTTTGTTGGCGGCTGTCCGGTATGGGGAACCGAACTCTTGACCTTGGTGTTCCAAGGCTGTGCTCTAAACTAACTGAGCTAACTGGCCAGCCCCCTTTTATTCATTTCTAATGTTCCCTGAGACTCTTATTTTATCACAACTTTATCAAGTGGAGCCAAAGCTGTTTAGTAGTAGGAAGTTAGATGAGGTTAGAAGATACAGAGAAAGAGAAAATAAGGAGCTGAAGAGCAGAAGGAAAGCCAAAGTGAATTCCATTTTACTTTTTAGTGCACTGGAGAAGCAACTTGACTGGTGATAGGCTGATATTGCTTTAATAGATCTTTATGATAACCCAACACATTGAAAACAGGATGAGCCCCACGGGGAACTGTTTATCAGAGCCAGTCCAGCATCAGTTCCATATGGAATGGGGAAACCAACAAAGAGCACCAAATCTATGAGAGCGCCTTGTTTGTTTCTGATTTCCGTACATTCATTCAAAATAAATCCCATTCTGGGGCCTCCTCAGAATAACATGCTTTTAACCATATATGGTACACCACAAAAGGGACATGTGGATGTGACCAGAAGCACACTTTTAATTGTGTCCTAGAGAAGTCTATTTATGACTTCATCATCATACTATAACTTAATTATTTAACTCCAAAGGCTGGGGCTATTTATGGAGTAAGCAGATGTGTGTCTCAATGAAGCTCACAGGCTTTTTTCCTGAAGTGTTGGTAAAAGATACTTATCCAGTCCTTGTTAATCAGTTGGTTTTCTGATGTGGGATTTTTTTGAAGCATGAGGTCACAACAGATGTAGAAGAGATCAGCCGTGCCTCATGCACATATGATTCTTTTTGCAGTGCATCCACAGGGACCTGGCGGCGCGGAATATCCTCTTGTCGGAGAAGAACGTGGTGAAAATCTGTGACTTTGGCTTGGCCCGTGATATTTATAAAGACCCAGATTATGTCAGAAAAGGAGATGTAAGTTTCAAAGATAAACCCAGTGATCTATTAAGGAGCAGAATTCAAAGTCCTCATAGCAACTTCAGGGCCTGTGTTTAAGAAGAAAGTTTTTTCTTCAGATATTTGCTAATTTGGGTTCTGATTCCTTGTCTTCTGCCCTCTTAGGCTCGCCTCCCTTTGAAATGGATGGCCCCAGAAACAATTTTTGACAGAGTGTACACAATTCAGAGTGATGTGTGGTCTTTTGGTGTTTTGCTCTGGGAAATATTTTCCTTAGGTAAGTCACTTCTCTTTGTACATCCAGACTTCAAATAGGATGATACAAGTTGGTGGCCCCATATGTCTTTTCTTCTCTGGTATTTCACCTGTATCAGGTAAAACTACTTGGAAGCTTTGGATTATAAAATCTGGAGAAAAAAAATAATAATAGGAGATGAGGATGTATAAGAATCAGGCCCAAGGCTTTCTATAAGAGAAAATTAAATCGAATAATGTCCCTTTCTGTTTTATTCTAGGTGCTTCTCCATATCCTGGGGTAAAAATTGATGAAGAATTTTGTAGGAGATTAAAAGAAGGAACTAGAATGAGGGCCCCTGATTATACCACACCAGAAATGTAAGACTTTAAAAAGTAGCCTTCTGTTCTCTTTCTTTGCTCACAAATTCTTCCTGCCCAGAAGACTTTCCATTATATATTCTTCCATCATGGCCCGGTTTGTGTTGTACTTTTCCCTTGAAGCCTTCTTTGATAATCTCAATCACAGAGTCATCACTTCCGAAATGATAGCGCTTCATTATCTGTACCAACCAGTTTTCATTAGATGCTGATTTGTGATGTTTTCTTTTCTATATGCCCTAGAGCTTCTGAGTGTAGGGCACTGTGTTTTACATGGTTTTGTATCCTTATTTAGCATTTTGGCTCATGGTGGGCTCTTTATAAATGTGTACCTATTCAAGTGCTTATTTCCAGCATCAGATCAGGAGGAAAGAGGCAGTTAATGAAATCAGTGTTTTGCTTCTCTAGGTACCAGACCATGCTTGACTGCTGGCATGGGGAGCCCAATCAGAGACCCACATTTTCAGAGTTGGTGGAACATTTGGGAAATCTCTTACAAGCTAATGCTCAGCAGGTTTGTAACCTCCATCCCTGAAGCTTCTACCAAGAGTGCTTAGGTGTCAAGGGCTCCCCTACCACCTGGACCTTCTCATGGCTACCATGCTATCCTCTCAGTCACTGAAGAAGGAGCTGTATTCTTAGATCTGAGCAATAATGCTTTTCTAAAAGCTGTAATTACCCCTTCAGATGGATGAGATCTTAATTTATAACCTAGGAGTAGATCACTCTTATTTCTACCTACTTATCTTTTTGTTACCTCTTCAAATGCTCTTCTGAAGTGAATAAAAATTTTTGGTCCACAGAATATCAACAATGGAGATAATTTCAAGGAATTTTAAATAAATACATCAAAACTATACAAACTAAATGGTTTTTTCCTTGGTAAAATCCCAGGCTCCCATCATTTTCATTCGAGGATTTTAGAGATGTAGTCTTTACCATTAGAAAGTTATTTAATCTCTAGTCAATGCATCTTACTACAAGGAAGCCAATTTCCTCCTCCTTTTCTTTTGAACAGCCGGGGAAGGGGGAGGTGACAATGAGTCAGATCTGTTTTTATTGGTAAAACTTCCAGACATTTAAAGGTACCAAATTGCCCTTTGTTTCTTTCTCTTGATGAAATAATGTTAAATTGTGCAACCTTTTCTCAGAAGACCCATTTTCCTAGCTACTTATTGGTTTTCTTTAGGCTGTCATCAGTTTTTCCATTGCCTTGAAATGTACAGGCTAAAATCAGATGACCTGCCCTTTAAAGGGCCTGGCTCCTGTAGACAGGGCTTTGTGAAGAAATGATTTCTCAGCTCTTCGTACCTCTTTGTGTTCTGTTGCAGCATCTCTGACCACTGCCTGCTTTGTCTTCACTGTAACCCCTCTTCTCTGTGGTCCCCTTACCCATCTCATTTTCAGTTCACTTCTTTAATATACCTTTATATACACATCCCTTTCAAGTCCCTTTTGTTTTTGACAAACCATTTTTAATGTTGTCTCAAAGTTCTATGTTCACATATGAAAGCAACACATCCCATAGCCAAGAAGCCCCCGTGGCCTTTGTTTTTCATGAAAAGGCTCTTGAAGGACTGAAGCCATAACAATAGTGTTCTCTGTTTATTGTTTCAGGATGGCAAAGACTGCATTGTTCTTCCGATATCAGAGACTTTGAGCATGGAAGAGGATTCTGGACTGTCTCTGCCTACCTCACCTGTTTCCTGTATGGAAGAAGAGGAAGTGTGTGACCCCAAATTCCATTATGACAACACAGCAGGAATCAGGTACTGTATATGGATGGCATCCCCTGGTGGGGGTGGGGAGGGGGCTTCAAGGTTATCTCAGGGAGGGGGAATGGGAGGAAGACATTTCATAAGGCTGCTGCATCCCACTTCCACATAACCTGAGCCCTGGGACCACTACAGAGGGAAGTGCTCCTGGGAGAGGGTCTGAGTAGGTGAGTTTCCTTCCATCTGTAGCCCACGTTGCTGCCACAGCTCTTCCTTTAAGACTTCTAAGCCCTGCAGCTGCAAATAGTTGGAATGCCACAGTTTGTTAATCTCTAGAAAGAGACCAATTTTACAAAGACATCTGTATTTAAATGATCCCCATGTACACTTTTATTAACGTGAATTAAATGGCTTAGGAAAGATTCAGGAAGGAAGAGTCCTATGCATATGTGAAAACACACTTATGGCTCTCTGGCGAGCATGCAGAATGCCATAGGTCTGTGTACTGAATTAGACCGGACACTGCATCTCAGAAGCCCCTCCCAAGTCTGATTTTCAGCATTTTATTTGCATAATGGGATGTCTGGGCTTATTTAAAACACATGCACTGCAGTCCTTTTCTAATTTGTGAAGAGGTTCTGAAGGCCGTTTTCTTTTTTCTCTCTCCCAGCACCTGTGCATAAGGAAAGAGTTGATATGGTTTTCTACAATATGTTATTAAAATTGCCTTTTACTAAGCCTGGACTACTTCACTTTTCTTTGTTTCTTTCCCAACCCCTTTGGGTGTTTTTCTCTTTTAGTTGGAACCCCTGACAGCATGGGTCCAGACTGCCCTCCTGGGTACACTGTGGCTGCAGGCAGGGGCCAAGAGCTCTATCATGTGTGTGGCACTTGGCCAGGCTGCCACATTGCAGGGGATACTGAAGAGGCACCGGGGAACAGATTGAATCTTGCAGGGCAGCAGAAACACTGTGATAGAGAGAAGAAAGCTTAGCATGGTTAGAAGCCAGCAAGTGAGCTGACCATTCCATTTATGTCAAGAGCATTAGGCATTTTTTTTTTTTCCGTGTCCGGCAACGGATCGCAACCCTCAGTGTCGCGCCCGTACTGGACCGGGACCAGCAACGGGATCGCAACCCTCGGTGTTGCGCCCGCACCTCGCTCAGCCAGTGAGCGGGAACCAGTCTGTATGTGGGATCCGAACCCTCGGCGGGAGTGCCACCGCACTCCCAAGTGGCGCACTATAGCAGTGCGCCACCGGGCCGGCCCAGCATTAGGCATTTTTAAAAGAACTTTCCTGTATATTACCAAACTTTGCCCATGTGATAGCTCTCAGAGTTAGGCAAGGCAGCGATTATTATCTGTTTTTGGTGCAGATTTTGAACATGAAACTCAGCTTGACTGCCTTGGGGCAGTACAACATTGCAGTTAAAAATCCAGGTATGAGAGTCAGAACTGGATGGGACTCCAAGTCTGCCTTTTAGCAGCTGTGGACCTGGGCAAATCATCTAACCTCTCCCTCAGTTTCCTTATCTGTGAAATGAGGCAAGGCCACTGGTGCTGTTTGAAATTGGTTGTTTTGAGAATTACTTGATATAATATATTTCTAACTGCCTGACACTTGAAAGCTCTTAATTAAGGATGGCTAGTAAGTGAGCTGCTTAAACTCACATCCCTGAGATGAATCCAGTTCCTTCGATACCAGACTCTGTGCTGTTTCCTCCCATACCAACGAGGGGCCTGCAGAGAGAAAGAGTAATGAAATGAGACAACAGTTCTACTCGCATGTTTACAAATTCCTAGTTCAAGTTCAGCTGGCTTTCTAGCGTGATCATTGTTCCCACAATACTATTATTGCCTTTTGATCATGAACTCTAGTCCTTATGTCTTCTGTGACCAAGTTGAGTGAGGATCCAAGCTGGCAGCCTCTTGGCTTGCCTGGGCACTTTGCATATGGTGCTGAGCAGGAGATGAAGTCATGTTTGTGTGATGCACACGCCAGATACAATGCTGGATCTAAAACAGAACTGCTAACATTCATCCCCAGAAGCGTGGACAAATGTGACTCCACTCTCCCAACACAGGCTGGGCTCCTGTTTTCTGTCTGTGATTTTGAATTGGTCTTTCCAGGCTAGTTTCTCTTTTATCCAGCCATAATTTGAAAAATAAAATGGAAATTGGAATCTTTCATCTGCATCCCCTCTCAACCCCCTCCACCCTTTTCCTTTTTATAAAAATAAACGTCACAGTCATATTTTCATCATCGGGTTGAAAAGCACAAGGCAGAATAGAGGCATGTGCTCACCAAACACTTCATGTGGATGCTCTCTCATGGTCTGCTTCCCTGGGGAGAATGAGACGAGGCTGCGCTACCTCTCAAGGGACTCGTCCTATCCTCTTTCGCATTTCCAGTCAAGTAGAAAAGCTGGAGTCTTTTTCTCAGTTGCTTCTTCCTTATGATTTCCAATCCCATTGCATTATAAGGAGAGCTGGACAGAGACATTCCCGTGGGAGCTGGCCACATAATTTGTTGCCTCTTCAAACTATTTAAAAAATATTTGTCCAGCATTTACTTAGAGAAGAGGCTGAGAAGTGTATGGGGGAAGGACCACTAGTGTCTAGACTTAGCTTTGTCTCTAATTTCCCTGTGGATCAGCTCTGGCCCCACGTTTGCATGCTTCCTGCAGGAAAACACATATTTGTTGGATTCATCTTTCTTTAAGGGCAGTTTAGGGGCCATCTGCGGTTGCTCTGTCATTTCCTTTGGGAGTTTCACTCCCCACTGCCAGCAGCTTGTCAAAGAATTATTTGCAATTCTCTCCCAGAGAAAGGTTTTGATACATACCATTTTCTTCATAATGGTTAATTGCTAGTGATGATTAAATGCCCCTTTTAGATTGATGCCTGAGACAGCCTGCTGCTTGATGTTCCTGAACTTGGCTGTGTTATTAGACTGCTTGAAGTGGGACTGTCCTTTCCCCATCTTTTGTCTATTTCACACCTCACACTCATCTCCTCCATCCTGAGCACCGCACGGGCAGAGCACACACGGCAATGAGAGCGGCTCTGTGCATATTCTAGGTGCTTAATAAAGACTTGCACAGTTGTGTCTGCTGCTCTCTGTTTCATTTTTCTTCCTGATACTCCTCCAGGGGAGTCAGTGTGAAGACCTAAGTTCGAGTCCCAATTCTACCCTTTATGAGACGTTTTCTCCCTGAGGCTTGGCTTCCTCATCTCCAAATGGGAAATAACAACAACAACAAAAAAAACCCTTTTTTGTAGTTTGTGAGGAGCAGATGAAACATTGTCTTTGAAAATGCTTTGTTGGTGGTGAAAACCTGCCATTTTTTAAATTTGGGGGCTCAGAACTCAGGGAGCTGCCCTTTCTAAGGCAGCTGCATTATTGTCCAAGCTCACCGACTCTGGTTGATTCCACACCGCAGATATCTGTGGAATCTGTTCACTTCTCCAAACTGCATGGGCACTCCCTTTCTTTAGTCAGGCTGCCCTCTTTTCTCCTAGACAAGTGTGATATCCCCCTAATAGGTCTTGCTGCCTCTGGACTTACCCTTCTCAATCTAGAGTCAACTTCCCAAAGGGCATATGTGACCTTGTCAGTCCCATGCTTAAAATCTTCCTCTTTGCTCTCAAAGTAGTAATCCAAACATTTTGGTTATGTGGTTTTGGACAAGTTCCTTTACCTTATTGTGCTTCAGTTTTCTCATCTGAAAAGTTCGGATAATAATATCCATCCCTAGAGAGGTTACCATTGTGAAGATGCCATGAGATGGTCTTTGAAGAGCATTTAGCACAGTGGCTGGCATCTGGTAGATTCTCAATCAGGGCTTCCCGAAGGAGTGAATGAATGAATGATTAACTGTGGGTACCAGTAGTTTTTTACAACCAGTACTTTTAGGGACTGGGCTTAGGAGAAAGTGGTCTTTGCTTCTTACTATATATCACGTCCCCTTTCTGTGGAGGCTCATGAGTGAGGATGTCACTGGTAAACCCCATTCTCTCCTGTCTGTAAGGTAGGAACCAGCCTTCTAGGGTAGGGGAAAGAGACTCAGTTTCCATTATCCTCCTTTGGCCTAAGGTCTATGCATCATGTTCCAGACAGCTGCTTGTGGTGGGAAGTAGGCTGGGATGAGTGAAGAGTGTGTTTGTTATCCCTGTAGGCCCTTCCTGTGAAAAGGACTTCCCTTCTCTCCACGTGGACCGTAAGTGATTTTGACAGGATCACCCAGACTCACCCAAAGCCATGTGGCAGGGGAGGACAACCCCCCAGGGAAGAGGTGATCTGTTGTCTGACAAGTTTTATTCTTTGTAGTCTTGAGGGAAACTGGCATCCTTGGGAATTCAAAGGAGAAAAACAAGCATTGGTTGATAGAGCACCATTCTTCCTAACAACATGAAGCCTAACATTTGCCATATCATTCATTGTCCCAATATCTTCATGAGCTTGGGAGGGATGGCTATTGCCAGTACATTGCAAAAGTGGGGCAACAGAGGCACAGAAATTTCCATGACTTCTCAAGTTTGTGTAGTCAGTGGTAGACTCTGCAATAGACAAAATATCTTCTGACTCTCAAACCACTGGCCTTTCCTGAGACAAGCAAGTCTGGGGGCTAAATATAGGGGGTAGTGAGACCCAGCCTACCTTCCCCTCTGCACATGAAACCTCTATTACATGTAGAAGGAAGAAGTTGTCTTCAGATCACTGCTATGTTCAGTATCCTTTAGGGAGACCTACAGGTGTTTCCTTTGCCCATCTTTCATTGAATCGTTGCTCTGTGAGCATTATCTAGAAAACCTTCCTAGGAGATGGCCAGAAAGATGTGAAACACTTGGTATTGTATCCAGAGCTCAATGGAGGAATCACGTGCAATCAGAAAGCCAAGCAGAAGGTAGTTGGTCACTCAGACTGCTGTTATTGTCTTTAGCCCTGGACCTCGGAAGTGTGGTTCGAAGGAGCAGGGGCTCATCTAGGCCCCTCAGTTATATTATACTTTTAAATGGACTTTCACAGGAAATCAAGTTTTCAATGTGTGCTAGCAGAGAAAGATTTTTATTTTGTTTTGTTTTTCTTTTTCTAAAGGATGTTTTGAAGGTTGCTATTAATCTTGTGGTTGAAAGATAATGAACTTAGGTATCACTTGTGGTATCTGCAGCCAAGTATACCACCACTGAAGTATAAATATTTGTTTTCTTGCAGTCAGTATCTGCAGAACAGTAAGCGAAAGAGCCGGCCTGTGAGTGTAAAAACATTTGAAGATATCCCACTGGAAGAACCAGAAGTAAAAGTAATCCCAGATGTAAGTACATCTTTTAAAAATAGTCTCAGAAATAATACAAAGTACAAAACACTAGCTAGATAAATATTAGCCTAAGCATTAGAGTCTTGGAGCCTCATTATAAGGCTGTTCTTGAGGGTTTATGTCATGGGGTCATTTATGGAGATGGAGCTTTGTTTTTTAGAAGTAAAACCCCTGGTCCAAAGTTCAAGACAGTCTAGCTTTTTGCCCAATTTCATTAAAGTGCAAATAGTATAATCATGAAAAGAGGGATGGAAACAGGCATCCTCAGCTTCATAAGTTGTCTCTTCTCCCTGGCCGAGGTCTACTTTCCTGCAAGCAGTTGCTTCCTTCTGTAGCTTGCACAGTTTCTGGCCATGACACCTTTTCCTTCCTCTGCAGGACAATTGAGTGTATTGTCTGATAGATGGGTTAGGAAATCAGTTTTATTAAATAGTTGTCAGTGTATAAACTCACTCAACTGTACCATCTCATTGCCTCTTAAAAAGGACAACCAGACGGACAGTGGTATGGTTCTTGCTTCAGAAGAGCTGAAAACTTTGGAAGACAGAACCAAGTTAGCTCCACCTTTTAGGTAAGACTCAGCCAAATAAAAAAGAAAAGTTTCAGTAGGAAGTTTTGGAATGAATATAGGACTTTCAGTGTAAGTGGAGAGTTTTCCCATATTAGTGTCTTTGTTGTTTGGGGAAATTAGCATCATCCTAACAAATAAAGAACTGAAACAAACCAAGTGAAGGTATTAAGTGACAAGTCTAAAAAATGATCTGAAATAAATTAGAGGATTTAGTCAATTTTTATATGTGAGTATGTGTACTATGGTCAGTAGTTTGTATGGTACTGGCTAATAACAAAGAAGTCATTGAATGTAATCTCCCAAACTATCAATATGATTAAAATTTTTGTGGACTCTGAAGAATGTTCAAACCTGTACATAAATGTTTGCATTTGTACTTTAAACATATGATGTATAAATAAGCTAATATCTATTTAAGATACTTAAATATTATCATCCTGAATTATTAAGTATTTAATTGTGAAAAAGTATTAAATTTGGTTTTGAATATAATTTCCCCCATATAGGTAAGAATTTGTAGTTGCTTTGAATAGGTGAACCTGCTTTTAACATAGCAAATGTGTGAGAATCTATAAGAATAATAGGATAAGAGTAATTATTTGCTAGAGGGTTCACTCTAGGTTAGACTAGAGGAGATTTTGATTTACTTGTAATCTAACCATTATTTAAAATGGGAACACTATGGGTTTTTGAGTGATGCTCACACACACACAAAAAAATCACCACAAAACATTATAATGTGCCATTGTGTGATTTTATTGTTTTCTTTAAGCTCAAAGGTAGGACATTGTGAGAGCCAATCATATATGTTATTCATTGTTCAAAAAATATTTATTCAGCAATTACTGTGTGCCAGGCACTGTGTCATTGCTTGAGATAGTTTGATTGGGGTTAGACTGAAAGAAAAACTGTATTTCTAGTTATTTGAAATAACTTTTAAACCATATAAGAACCATATATAAACATTTTTTGCAGTTTTTAACATGAATAATTTGGATGAAATACCTATTAAGGGGAAAAACATGTTAGAACAGCTTGAGAAAGTGTAAATCCTGAAGTTTTAGATCAACACAGCTTACATTTCTAAACTTTGACATGATTACTCTTTGTCAAGATTCCACAACATTGGAAACATTCTCTAGTTGCTACTGAGTGATCTGGGTCCTCAGTCTTTCCAAGGAATGTGGTTTTGATAAGTAAAAAGCAGTGTTTCACATGTCCAGCTTGATTGCACACACGCTTCAAATTATTAAAATGTAAAGTTGCTCAAGAACTTTATTAACACCATACATGTGCCTTGTAGTCCCCTAATCAACAGAGTGGGGAAAGCACAAGTGAACTTTCGGAACATCCCGATTTCCTTGAACATTATGAAAGAGGCCCTTTGGCTCCTATCATTGTATACAAACTTGTCAATCTGCAAGGCCATAAAAACGTTCCATTGGTTGGAGCCTTTGCATAACTCAGGAGAACTGCCTTTCATCTCCTCTGAGGCTTGAGAGACTTGGACCTGAATAAGAGAACTTATCTGCAACTACTATTTCATGCTAGTACCTGAAAATAGACATTGTCCGAGTAAACCTGATATGCTGATTAACCACTGGGAGAGATAGGCAGCTGGCGTCTCCAGGGAGATTACAGCCCACACAGAGTTAGGAATGAGGTTAGGGTAAGAAGAAAAAGAACTGTCTTCTCTGCCTACTCATTTGGTTACCATTTCTTCCACAGTGGAATGATGCCCTGCAAAAGCAGGGAGTCAGTGGCTTCTGAAGGCTCAAACCAGACGAGTGGCTACCAGTCTGGGTATCACTCCGATGACACGGACACCACTGTGTACTCCAGCGAGGAGGCAGAACTTTTAAAGCTGGTGGAGATTGGAGCACAAGCTGGCAGCATGGCTCAGGTTCTCCAGCCTGACTCTGGGACCACACTGAGCTCTCCTCCTGTTTAAAAGGAGGTACCCATGCCCACCATTCCTGGAAATCACATGAGAGGTGCTGCTCAGATTTTCAAGTGTTGTTCTTTCCACCACCAGGAAGTAGCCACATTTGATTTTCATTTCAAAAAAAGAACCTCGGACTGCAGGGAGCTAGTCCTTTAGGCATTTCTTGAGAAGATGCTTGTGACCCAAGAATGTGTTTGTCTTCTCCCAGTGCTGACCTTATTCTCTTTCTCATTCATTTAAAAAGCATTTATAATGCCCCCATCATGGGTCTTACCATTGGTTAGAATAACAGCCGTGCAAGAAATGGCTTCATGCTCAAAGAAGTAGCAGTAACTGGGGAGTTGACACCTCTGTGAAACTAAGAGATAAACCAGGCAATATAAGTGCTTTAGGTGTTGAAGATGGGAAAGATTTGTAGGGCTGACTCCAAGAGGCTTTGTTTAGGATATGGGTCCTGAGCCAAGTTTTAAGTGTGGCATTTGGATTGATAGAAAGCAAGGTGTTAGCTTGCTTTGAGAGAGCACTGGAGCCTGCAAGTGCATTGTGGAGGTGGGCATGTGGTCTGTTAGGAAATGTGAAAGCTGCGGATGAAGTTTCTGGTTTTAGAAGCTTGCGTGCTCTTCGCAGTTGGGCTTAAAGGAGAGTTCCTTGTGCAGTTTCCGACTCCTAATGAGAGTTCCTTCTGGACCCTTACGTGTCTCCTGGCCAAGGCCCAGGAAGGAAATGATGCAGCTCTGGTTCCTTGTCTCCCAGGCGGATCCTTTATTCAGAACACTACAAAGAAAGGACATTCAGCCTGAGCCTCCCTGTCGTTTCGAAGAGTTTTGACTGTACAAACCAGCTTCTGGTTTCTTCTGGATGAATACCCACATATCTGTCCTGATGTGATATGTCTGAGACTGAATGCAGCAGGTTCAATGTCAAGCTGTGGTGTCAAAGCCTCGAGAAGGATTATACTCTTTTGTTCCTCTTCCCACACCCAACCACTCTCACCCCCAACCTGTCAGTATTTTAGTTATTTGGCATCTACACTCCAGTGAACCTGATTTGATTTGTTCACTCTCTGAATAATTGTTAGCCAGATTTCAAAATTACTTTATATTCAAAGTTATAACAATATCTATTGTATTATTTAGACTTTTAACATATAATAAAACCCCAAAGGAGACATTCCCTAAAACATGGCACCTTTCTGGCTTCTCTTCTGGGTCCTAACATTCCTGCCGGTGCCAAAGTATGGCCTATCAAAATCATCACCCGCCCTTCCGACCAATCAGCCACCGCCCCGCATGCTAACCACCCTCTCCCGGAACTCAGCTCTCTATAAATGTATGCTTCACCCTCAAATAAAGCAGAACTTCTCTGGTGAACTGTCAGCTCGGGTCCTGTCATTCTTTCATTGGTGCCGAAACCCGGGAGGAGCTCACCCCTTACCCGAGGGGACTCCTTCTCGGACCTCCTTCACTCTCTCAGTGGTTCCCGCTGCTGATGCTTCGCCCTCGTTCATTTTCTCCGGTGCTGGCTTTCCGCACCCACCACCAGCTCATCCAAATGTAAGTCTCCCTTTAGAGGTGTTGTGAGATGCTGAGAACAATGACTATAAAACATGCTATGGCACATATATTTATAGTCCGTTTTTGTAGAAACAAATGTAATATATTAAAACCTTTTATTATATATAATGAACTTTGTGCTATCACATTTTGTATCAGAATTATGTAGCATAACAAAGGTCATAATGCTTTCAGCAATTGATGTCATTTTATTAAAAAAAACTTCGGAAAACTTGAAGGAATCATTTTGCAAGGTTGCATTACTGTACCTATCATTTCTCTCATTTCTAAAATGAAGGAAGGAGGGGAAATCAGACATAATTTCCATGTAGCTGATTTTCAGTTTTACTTGTTTCATGATTCTTCTTACAAAGGATATTTTCATAAGATGTTCGCATGCTTTATAAACCAATAAATGTATTCATAGTAAAAAATACAGTAGTATAATATTATACAACTATTCTGAGGATAAGATCTTCTGGTTTGAGGTATAATTGCTTCCTTCCCCCTCTTCGTTACACAGATAACTCACCCATACACAAAGGCTTTCTCATTACATTCTGAGCACTTTTGAGATTGTGATAACTTGGATTGAGACATATGTGATTCCGTGGCCCTCCAGTGAACTCCATGTGTGTTTGAGTAGCCAGCCATGAAACTCAGCGGGTAAGAGATTCTGAGAGAGGTGGCCAGACCCAGGGCAGTGTACCAAAGCATGGAGCACATTTATAGTCTCCAAAAATATTTCCCTCTGTACTTACAGGGTCAGAACATCAGATCCATTATTGCCATTTTGAATGATTACTTTTGCCTGAATTCAGTGGGAGCAATTATTTAACAAATCATTGACACCAGTAAGTTCCTCTACTTTTTGGTGCTATTTGTTATGTAAGATTTTGTAATGCTTATCTAGTTAAATAGGCCTACCCTTTTTTTTAATGGCTTCTAGGTTTTTAATCTTATTCAGAAAGGTCTTCTCCATTCTAAAAAGCCCCAAATTCTAAATTTTCTTGGTTTATTGCATATAAATCCACCAGGGATTTATTTTCACATATGGAGCAAGATAGGAGTCTAACTTTATAGTATCATTTTTCAAACCCTATCATCTCACCGAGACACTCTGCACAACTTTAGAGTGGACAGAGGATGGCCGTGAGAGTTTGTGGTTCCTGGGATGCACTTACAGACTGGGCCATTGGCTGGGGTTAGTGGGTTAGGGTCTTCTGACAGATTTGTTAAACTATGAGCCAGGCTGACCCTGAGGAGAGTCCCTCACCTGTCCCCATTATAACAGCCTCTCCCAGTCAATGAACAGAAGAATCTAGGTTATTCAGGATGGAAAGGACTGTGTATAAAAACACAGGATTTTCTTCACTTTGGGAAAAAGAGAAGGTTTTGTTTCTCATAAGCGGCTTCTGGCATTGTGTCCAATGCCGGGAATTTGGATTCAGCTGAAACTTCACACCTTATTAGGAAATCTTTCAGCACCTCCTGCAGAATGATTAGGAGGTGAGGTTTGGTCTTCTTGCTTCTCTTCTGTCTTCCACACCTCTTGTTCTTAGCTCTTTTTCTCTCCTCATTTGTTCCTGTATTGAAGAAAAAATGTGGCTTTTTAAGGCACTCCCTGCATGGTCTTATTTTCAAAGCTTTGATTGGAGGCATTTGGTGTGTTTCAGGAGAGGCTCCTGTCTGCCTCTTTCGTGCCTTGTTCTTGTGCTGTCCCCCCTCCTGGCAAACCCTCTGTCTCCTTACCTTCCTTTCTCTTCCCACTAACCATCCTCTTCTCTGCACCCCCGCCACATCATAGGAGAAGTGAGAGCTCTGGGAAGTTGAAGTTCATTCTCCCTGGACTAGGTTTTCCTGTTGATGCACATTCCTTTATCCTCTTCAACGAGAGAAGAAAAGTAAAAGCTGCAAACCTACAATGTTGTAGTTGCTAACTTAACCCAATCTTCCTGTCGCCCCCTAGCATGTCTTTCTTTCTACCTCTGACTCAGGTATTTATCACAAAGATGATAAAATGTAGGCAGACCCAGAAAGCTAAAATCTTTGAAAAAGTAGCCTTTCATAGACATCTTCCCACATTTATACGTCCCTCTTCTTAGAGGCAGTGGGCCTGTTCATGCATTCCTGGGTATGTGGTGAACCCAGCTCAAAGGGGGTTCTAACCAGCTGTTATTAAACTGTACTTTCTAAATGAATCTCTTTCACATCAAGGGTTTAGATAGAAGTAAAAAATCTGTATAATTTTTGGGAAAGCAATATTAAGTCCAATTCTTGGAAAAGTTACAGAAAACTCCTAGTTAATAAAAAAATTGAAATGGTAAAATAAAGTCATTTACTCTGTTTTTGATTGGGATGGAGAGAAGTAACAAAATCTGGGAGGAGTGACCCAGAGAGAAATTTAACAGCCAAGTTGGCCAGAAGTTCTGGAGCTAAGTTAGTAGGACATACCAGCCCTAGGAGAGGTCTGACTCAGTGATAAGGGCTCTGAGTTAGGAAAATATTCTAATGAAGACCACAATAAGACAAGGATTACAGTAAACTGTGACTGATACCAAGTGAATGTTAGTGAGAAAACATCAAATTGTGCCTTAGATTTTATTTTATTTACAACACATGATTTCTGTGTAACTTCTTGGTGACTCTAAAAACAATGTTAAATTCAGTAATTTCACTAAATTTTTGTTTCAAAATGAAAAAATGAAGAGAAAATATGTGGCCTAGTGTTTTATTTTAGACTCAGCTATCGTTTCTGCCAAGTACTTTGGAACATAGAATCAGTGTACTTAACCAAAGTGGTGACAGCGTACTTTCATGCCTTAATTGTTTGAAGGTCTCATCTTTTTGATATATAGCAAATAGAAAAAGGGCAGGGAGTAAGAAAACTGGCTTTTGTTCCAGTTTTGTTCCACTTTTTGCTCTGTTTGTCTTTTCCCTTCTTCAGGAAGTAATATTTTGGGTGAATAAACTCAGGAAAGTGGGTTGAGCTCCTCAGTGAAAGGTATTCTCACAATGTCTGATTCTGGGTTCATGTGCAGCCTACAGGATATGGGGCATGGAATGAATGACTCATCAGGAGCCCTCTGAACTAGTGTTACCAGAAAAGGCTTAATGGGATCCTGGTGCTATGCATGGGGGATCTAGTTAAGCTGAAATGACTTATTCTGACAAAGGGGATTGAAAACATTCCATTCACTGCCACAGAGAGAACATAACTGGAAATGAAAACCCAGATACAAGGCAGAGAATTCAGGCTAGATATAAGGTGGACAACAATATCTCATAGTCATTCCCCAGGTTAAAAAGAAAACTGGCAGACACTATCCTGCGGCACATATTGGGGAAAAAAAGCAAAGCCTTCCATAGAAATCAAGTGCCAAAGATTCAGCCCTTACTACTAAACTTTAAATGAGTAATATTTTATTTGTTTGTTTATATTTAACTGCGTTTACAAAATGCCTGCAATGTATCAGATATTCTTTTAAAAATTTTACTAATATTAACTCATTTAAGTCATAGGGACCCTAAAGCAAAATGTAGGCATTACAGTGTAGACCAGATGGGTAAGCCAGAAGAAAATTCACAAAAGGACCCTCACTGATGGTTTCCACAAATGTTTGTTAAGGATTTTCTGTGTGTCAGACATTCTACCAGGCAGTTGTCAAAATTATTTCCTTAGCTGCATGGGTTAAGGGTTATCAACAGAACTATAGAGAGGAGGAACTCCACTTTTATTCCAGAACTTTCTATATATCTCTATAGTCTCACCATAATGAATTGAGCATAGTTCTCATTATTGGCTCAGTCATTCTTTACACAGTCATTCCTGAATAACGATTTGAGTTCAAAAACCCTTTTAGGTATCGTAATACAGGATGATGCCCCTGATCCAAAATGCTGAGGACCAGAAGTGTTTCAGATTTTGGATTTTGGAATATTTGCATTATGCTTACCATTTGAATATCCCTAACCTGAAAACCCAAAATCAAAATGCTCCAGTGAGTATGTCCTTTGAGCATCACCTTTGGGCATTATGTCAGCACTC